CCAGTGAACTAGAAATACTGAAGGAAGGAGTATCCTTTATTTCTATCTCGCTTGCACCATAAAATATCTTAAAAAAACATAGTATAGCCCAACGAATTAGAAATACTAAAGCAAGGAGCAACGAATTAGAAAAACTAAACGAAGAAGCACCTTTGGTTCTATCTCGCTTACACTCCCTGAAAAATCGTATCTTGAAAAAAAAACGTGGTGAAGTCAAAAATTTCAGGTAGATCTCTCTCTTCGCTCTAAGCATTGGCAAACTGAAATTAACATAAAATGCAAAATGTTGTTGTTTTTGATTAAAAAAGTACGGGCGCTGATATAAAAAGTAAACAAAGAAAATTCTGTTATTTATAAAATGAGTGCAGTTTATAAATAAAAAATCATAAAATATTTATTAATAAGTGTTAAAAAATGAATATTATTTTACAAAAACTTTTAAAAAAATTATAACAAGTGGAAAAAAAAATTTATTGAAAAAGAAAAAGGTGTCTCAAGTCGTTTTTTATGCGGTTTCTTTTTATGCGATTTTAAAGCTATGCGGTTTTTATTTCTCTCAATTTTTTTTATGCGAATTTTTTAGATGCGATTTTTGAATTTAAGTTTCTGTTAAATTTTTAAGTATAAGGGGATTTCCAATTTTATTTCAATTACACACATACTTAAAGTTTTTCTGTTACACACATTAACGTATGTATGTAAGTATGTATATGAAAAATTACTTCTTGAAATTTGTTTAAAATAAAATTATTGTTCGCAAATTTTTATGATAATAGTGTTTAAAAATTTTGTTTTATATAAAAACTTTAATAAAGTGGTTTTGATATTCATTTTGACAACAACGTAAGTACGATAGCACGGCATACATATATACATACATACGATACCCCGATTTTTTAAAAACACGGCTAGTTTTATAATAAAATCTTATTTAAATTATTATACATACATATGTACGAATATAGAAGTATCGTAATGGAGCAAAAACGGTTCAAGAAACGGCTTTTCTTTTGGAATAAAATTTTGGATAAGTAAAAAAATAACGGGTATTGGAAAAATATATGATTTACAGTAAGAGGAATTAAAACTAATGAGGTCATACCAAAATCAGCAATACTTATACAGAAGTAAATAAAAAAACTGTCAAGATATTCAAGAAATAATTTACTAGCAAAAAATGGAAAAAACACTTTTAGTCTGGATCGAGGAGTTATCGCGAAGAAGAATTCTTTTAAGCGGATTTTTAATCCAACGTAAAGCTCTTCAATATTATGAAAGCATAAAGAAATTGGAGCGTTCTAGTTCTTCTTCTCAGATAGACAAAAATTTTTCAGCCAGCAAAGGATGGCCGACTGGATTTTTAAGAAGTGCGCCGCACAACGTAAAAATAACGGGCGAAGTTGCATCGGCAGATACAGAAGCTGTAAAAGATTTCTCTGGGGGCTCAGCCAAAATCATCGAAGACTGTGGTGATTTATCTGACCAAGTGTTTAAGGCCGATAAGACCGGACTATTTTAAAAAAAAAATGCTTGATCGAACTTATATAGCCAAATCAGGGACTGCCTGTGCACTGGATAGCTAACTCAAAAGTTTGGGCTATAGCAGTAATATTTACTAATTGATTCAATAATTGTTTTGTGCCTGAACAATACGCCAGGACATCTCCGTTTAGAACACGAAAATATAAAAGCAAACATTTCCCACCTAATACGACAAAAATTATTCAACCGTTTTACCAGGGAATAATTTCCACTTTTAAAAAATATTATATCTAGCGCATTTTTAAATTTATGTTAGAAAAACTAGAACATAAATCATTAACTTTAATTGAGGCCTGGAAACAGTTTTCTATTTTTGGCATAGTAGCCTTGCAGAAATGAAGCTATTCAAGTATCACAATTATCAAATGAAAGTTTTACTTTGGCTCAGAATATTGGTGGAGAAGGTTTTGATACTTTTAATGAAAATGATACCGAAGAGTTGCTTATTGATGAACCTTTAAATGATGCCGACGTTATTGACATTATTTTGGATCCTGTTAAAAATTTAGAAAACATACAGAATGATAATTCTGAAACAGGATCTGGAAATTTTACTTCAAAAATTATTAAAGAAAATCTTCTACTTTGTGATCAATTAGAAAATCATTTTCTAACTAATGATCCAAATTCTCAAAGAGCATATAAGTTTCAAAGAGAACTACAAAAATGTATGTCTGGATATCGTGAACTTCATAAAGATTCAGCAAAACAGCAAGAATACAGCAAATAACGAGGCAGAAATTGTTACTAGTTCCTCTGATTGTGATTTTTCTACAGAAATTGATACTAATTCCACGATTTTGTGATTTTTCTAATAATGAAGATGATATTAAGGATATGATAGACACACTACTTTCAAGTGATGATGATTAAAAACAATGAAATGAAATTTGAATAAATTTTTATAAACAATAAAAAGTTTAAAAAACATTCAAAAAAATTCTATTTAGTATATAAATTCTATAGGTATACTATGTACATAGCAGTTTTACGATTTTTTATGCAAATTTTGAAAAAATTTTAACGCTGTTTTCTAGTTATACGGGGTTTTTTTCATATTAAAGAACGATTTTTTTTAATACGTTTTTCTTGGGAACACATCTACCGCATAAAAAAAGACTTAAATGTAGTTCTAAATTGTTATTCCCGTTTGAAAACAACAAATACTTTTATCATACCATATACATATATGTGAATATTATTTATTTCAATAATTAAATGAAAGCAATGCAGACGGCTTCTACCGCTGCATTGGAGGTGATGATCGAGTTGTCGCCACTGCACCTCTATATATTGAAGGAAGCTCGGCTAATGACTTACCGATTTCTCTCTGGCGAGGACAGGGTGGGGCTAAAGTTGGCCCACAGGCCTCACAGAGACTTCATTGAGAGCGATCCGTTTCTAAGAATAACCATGTCGGATGCCTGTCTGTCGCTGTACAACTTCGACCGCAAGTAGAGGGTTCTGTTTCCCGAGCGATGGACGTGGGATTGAGTTGGCCCAGTATTTGAGTCGGGTTCGAACGTGTGGTATGCAGACGGATTCAAGACGGAGTCGGGTGTGAGTTCGGGTGTATACGGTGTCCGCCCGGATACGCATATATATGCAACCCTTGACCCATATTGCACGGTGTTCCAAGCCGAAATATATGAAATAGAGATCAGTCTGAGAATCAATTTAGAAATGGGGTACAGAAACCACACCATCTATGTGTTCTCGGACAGCACGGCTGCACTCTTGGCGCTTCATTCAGCTCAGGTTACATCCAAGCTGCCTTGCTGCACTTGTGGAATTGGCATTGTGGGCAACGAAATTGCAGATGAGCTGACGTGGAGGGGATCTGGGGCTGACTTTGTGCAGCCGCTGCCTTTCTGCGGTCTGCCTTCTTCCGCCGTGGGGGCCAGGCTTGCGGGACACGACAGGGTACCGTCATGCGAAAGTGTTTCTTTCGGCGTGCTCCAGCGTTTTTACCGCAGAGTTGCTGGAGATGAACAGGAGCCGGGTTCGCACTATTGTGAATTTCTTCACGGAGCACTGCCCAGTGAAGTACCACCTGCATAGGCTGGGGAAGTCGGGCTCCTTCCTGTGCAGATTTTGTTGGGGCGGTGATGAGACCGCCGTGCACATTCTCTGCGACTGTCCGGCACTGGCTGTTCGGCGCCGCAATTGTCTTGGACATGGGTTCCTAAGTGTTCGGGAACTGTTGTCCAACTTCCTAAGAAGATCCCTAAGCTCCGGCTTTGTGGGTGGGACGGGGGTATTATAGGTGGGAACGTGGGGAGGCTATAAGTCAAGAATGGTTGCGGTGGCTTGGGGGGTTACTCCTGCCCCACTCGGTTCCCTTTAAGTCTACAAACCTACAATTAAACGAAATATTCGAAAGTGCTTATTTGTAATTTTATTAAATTTTTAATTTTGCAAAGATATCATTTATTTTCCTTTTGTTTTAAATTAAAATTACTTCGGGTGACATAATTTTACCAGGACCGGATTTTTTTAAACAAATGAGTTTGTGTTAGATTAAATGAAGCATAGAAACAAATATTTTAAATTATGAAATGAAATGATGAAATGAAAAGTATTTCCCTTTATAAAATGAAGATTTGGTCACCACAAAAATATATGAAGACGACCCGATCCCGTTGAATTCAGTGAGTAAAATAAAATATTAGGGTGAATTATTTATAAAATATTTTGGTTTAGAATGAATTAGTATGTAAAGCTCAATTAATGGTTAAAGACGAATATGACAAGATATCATCTACTTCAGTGAGTAATAACCACCATATTAATTAAAATTTGTTAAAAATTATACTGTCTTATTAAAGTTTATATGTATTTGTTTTTATTGTTATTAATATTGTTTGGAGTTGTTCAGTGAAATTGTCAAACAAAACTGATAATATAAGAAATTCTTTAACAAAATATGTATGTTCATTTTCGAGGGTCATAAAATATTATGATATTAAAATACTTATAAATATTTGCATCAATATAAATTTTTTTTCACAGATATCTAAATGAAAAAATATTTTGAAATGTTTTTTAATTTTTACTTTAAAAATTTTTTTTTTAACTATCCTTCTTACAAATTACACATATTTTAAAGTAGATGCCAAACAAGAATATAATATATAATACATATTTTATAGTAGAGCTGCTGTTACGACCTGGACAATACTCGGAGCAAAGAAAAAAACAACAAGAGATATTTGGCTTCATTATTTTTTCAAGATGCTTCTTCCTTTAGTATTTCTAATTCGCTGCACTAGTGAGTACAAAGTAAATGCTGAGCATACTTTCGAATCAGAAAAAGTTTGTCTTAATATCTCATTGTCTAAATATCTCATTGTTCTGTCAATGGTTATGTTTTTTTTTTTTGAGTGAAGAGAATTTCACGGTTAGTTTCATGGTTATGTAAGTTATGTTCTTGTCCCAATAAATAGGATAAAAGTCATTTGTTATACCAATTGAATGTCATTTATTGTCAATTAAATTCGTGCGCCCGTGTTAAAATTGCTGCTCGTGGTTTAAATTCCGCGATCTAAATTTTTTACAAATATAATTTACTAAACTTTAAAAGGAGATTTTGAAATTTGCTTTAAATTGTATTTAGTAAGTTTAGATAAATACAGAGATTTACCAAGATGCCTTCCAGCGATCCATTGCCGCCAAAAGAAAGTGCTCTTTTTCGAAAACTTCTGGTAAAATAGTATAATTAAAATAAAAAACATAATAACTCATAAAAAATAAATTAAAATGTGCTGTTTTAAAATATACAATCTTCAAAATTTGTAAGAAGTTTGCTTATAATTTTTTCACTATCCGAATATTTATCTTAAATCCATTTTAACCTCAAAATGGCTTTTGTACGATTCAAATAAATCTACCATTTTTCAATACTTCCTTTTCAGAAATGTTATGAAATGAAACAATATAAGAATGGTTTGAAATTGGCCAAACAGATTCTCTCAAATCCGAAGTATACTGAACATGGGGAAACATTAGCTATGAAAGGATTGACACTGAATGGTTTAGGGCGTCGAGAAGAAGCATACAAATACGTACGACAAGGTTTAAGGAATGATTTAAAATCCCATGTGTGCTGGCATGTTTATGGTTTGTTGCAGCGTTCTGATAAAAAGTATGATGAAGCTATCAAATGTTATAGAAATGCTTTGAAGTGGGAAAAGGATAACTTACAAATTCTCAAAGATCTTTCTCTTTTACAAATACAAATGAGAGATCTTGAGGGATATAAAGAAACCCGGCATCAATTATTTAAACTTCGACCGTCTCAACATGCTTCTTGGATTGGATTTGCAATGAGTTATCATTTGTTGGGAGACTTTGAAACTGCGAATAGTATTTTGGAGACATTCAGGCAATCACAAGCATTGATAGTTTGTTTGTAGAAACTTTTTATTGAGAGAAATTAATTTTTCTACTTTTTTCGTAGGAAACCCATGATTATCGTCATAGTGAACTTTTACTGTATCAAAATCAAATATTAATTGAATCTGGAAATTATGATAAGGCTCTTCAACATTTACTGGCTTTTGAAAATCAAATAGTTGATAAATTAGCTGTTAAAGAAACTATAGGGAATCTCTATATAAAATTAGGGAAAAACAATAAAGCAATTACTATTTATGAAGAATTAATAAAACGAAATCCTGAGAACGTTGAATATTATAAAAAATACTTCGAAGCAACCAATATGACAGATGTGGACAAAATTCTTGAGCGATATGACAAATTCCAAGAAACTTATCCGTATGCATTGTGCCCTAAGCGTCTTCCATTAGATATGGCTAATGGTGATAATTTTCGCGAAATTGTTGATCGATATTTACGTAAAGGTTTACGAAAAGGTGTGCCACCACTTTTTAATAATGTACGTTCCTTATATAAAGATGATGTAAAAATTAATATAATAGCGGCGCTAGTTGAGGAGTACTTTAAAAATTTAAATATGTCGGGGCACTTTTCACGAATTGATTTCGAACATAATAAGCCTAAAGAGCCTGTTTCAGCTTTGTTATGGACTACTTTATTTTTGGCCCAACACTATGACTACTTAAGAGATACTGAGAAGGCACTTAATTATATTAATATAGCTATAGAACATACGCCTACATTGATAGAACTTTTTGTGGCCAAAGGTCGAATTTATAAACATGCTGGTGATACGATCGAAGCGTATATCTGGTTAGATGAAGCACAAAGTTTAGATACTGCTGATCGTTATATAAACTCCAAATGTGCAAAATACATGTTGCGAGCTAATATGGTAAAAGAAGCTGAAACAGTTTGTTCAAAATTCACTAGAGAAGGTGTTTCTGCCATGGAAAATCTTAACGAAATGCAGTGTATGTGGTTTCAAACAGAATGTGCTTTGGCATATCAGCGTCTTGGAAAATGGGGCGAAGCACTAAAAAAATGTCATGAAGTCGATAGACATTTTGCTGAAATAATTGAGGATCAATTCGATTTTCACACTTATTGCATGAGAAAGATGACGTTAAGAGCATATGTAGGTTTGCTGCGTTTAGAAGATATTTTAAGGAAACATCCATTTTATTTCAAAGCAGCTAAGTGCGCGATTGAGGTAAATATATAATTTAGGTCACAAAAAATTAAAAACAAATTAAGATATTTACTAATATTTACCTTCGATCATTATTTTTCTTCCATTATTAAATTTGGAGTACGAAACTTTTTTATTTTTCAAATTTGTATTTTGTTTTTAGGTGTATATAAGACTGCATGACAAACCTTTAAAAAATGAGGTAGCGGTAGAAGAAATAGATCTAGGTTTGTAAAAATTTGCTTAAAAGTGCTAGTGAATGAAATTATCTTGTTTTAATTTTATTAGAAAACTTACCACCCTCAGAGTTGAAAAAGTTGCGAAATAAACAAAGGAAGGCGAAAAAGAAGGCCGAACTTGAAAGTGCACAGGCTGCTCAAGCAGCGGTCAAAAAAGAACAACATCAGAAATCAAAACAACAAAATCCCCAAGACACAGATCCCGATGCGCCGCAGTTAGATGAATTAATACCAGAAAAATTAGAGAGGCCTGATGATCCTTTGGAAAAAGCGATAGAATTTTTAAAACCATTGCAACTGCTAGCCAAAGATCGAATTGAGACATATTTATTAGCATTTGAAGTTTATTTGAGAAAGCAAAAAATTTTGCTGATGATTCAATCAATAAATCGTGCTCGCAAAATTGATGCTAACCATCCGATTGTACATGGTTGTATAATGAAACTAACAAAAGCTTTACAACTATTCACTGATTTAAATCCCAGTGTCAAAGTTGTTGTTGACAAATCAAGCAAGGAATTGATTGGTGATAGCACGCCTGCAATAATTAATCAAGCATTTATTGAAAAAAATCGAACCTCTATATTGCATTTAATTGAAGGTGCTAAAATCATGTATGCTTTACAGCCTAGTAAAAAAGAGGAAGCGATTAAGTTATTAACAAATTTTGATACTAATAAAATGAGTTTGCAGGTATGTTTGGTGGTTATTTAAATGCTCTGTGTTATTTGACTTAAGTTTTTTTTTACACTTTTATTTTTACTTTTTTTTTATTTATTAAAACAATTAATGCACTTTTTTCTGTATTTCAACTTTAAGGACTGTACAAAGGTTTTTGAAAGCGTACGTGATGGACACTTTGGGCACGATATTGATGATATTTTAATATCATATAAAAAAGTATGTCGAAACCGATTTCCTTATGCTCGTCTTTTTAGAGAAGATAAAATAAAAAACTTTGATCAACCACCAAGTGAAAATCATATAAACGAATCTAAAGATGAACAAAAGACTGCAGATTTGTAAAACCACTAAGCAAGCTTCAAAAATTTAAGAATAAATATTTTAATTGCTAACAGAATCAAATTTTAAATATGTAACAAAAAAAACTTTAATATTAATTTTCAAATATTTCTTATCAGTTCAATAACTTTAAAAACGACGGTTTTTAGATACAATTTAGGAATTCAATTAAATCAACATTATAATTTGGTTTGAAATAAAATGCATATAGTTGAAATAATGTATATAATGTAATATATATTTGTAAAACTTATGCAAATATTTTTATTTTCAAATATTTAATGAGGTACATTATCATTAAAACATAAATGTATAAAAATATTTCAAAAAGTATTATAAAACTATTTGGATATATAAATTTTCTTGGCTTTATATCTTAGTGTAAAAAAGAAACTACCAAAAGAACAATTACAGACGTCATATTGTATTACAATTGTCACTTCTTTTATTGATACTCAATCAGTAAAGGAAACGACAATCTGATTAAATTTTAAAGGATTGTGGATTGGTTGATAAAATTATGTAAGTTTTTGTATTGTTATTTTTTTTTGTTGCATCTTTAATAATTTTTGCAATATCAGACTTATAATATATTGAGTTATACTTTAGCTATTTTAAATTTTTACATTTTTATTATTTTTCGATTAGTAATTTTATTTGGGATTTTTAGTTAGGATAAGAAAAATTGCTTATATTTTTTTCTTATAAAAAATAATGTAAATTTGTATAGAAATTATAATTGTTTATTATAACTAAACACCCATATTATCTTAGACGTATCGACTAAACGAACTATTATTTGAAACGAACTATGATATTATTATGTGATGCGTTTAAGAGAATGTGAGTAAGTGATAAAGTGTGAAGCGGCTTTTAGTTGAAATTTAATTTTTCGTAATTTATCAACTTGTTCACATCGGTCACGAATACCTAAAGAATGAATTCTAAAATAAAATTCGAAAAGATGTTAATGGTTGCTAACGAATAGAGCTTTATGATAACATTTGCAAAAAATTTAAATAACATTAACTCTTGAATTGATTTTAAGCCTTAGTTTAAATTTAGCAAAAATAAGTACTTGACTATTACCTTTTACAATAGCATTAATGTCATTTAACAAGTCTTAATTTATTTTTAAGACAGAAAGAAAGTAATAAAAATTTAAATGTGTTACAAAATATTAAAACGAGAATATACTTTTCATTTCTTGAAGTTTTGTAGAGGTATTTTGAATTCTTTAATATTTTGAAGATTTTCTAATACACATTAATACATCTAACATAATTAAGTTATGTACACAAAGTTCTCCAATCGATTTTTTTTATTGTGAAATTGCAGAAATAATTTATTAATTAAGATTGTTAGAATATGTTACATCAAAATATATTTACCGCTTTTAAAAGCAAGAAATTTTTAAAGTTAATGAGAAAGAATAAAAATAAAATTAATTAATGTACATATTTTAACATTTTATTTAATTTATAATAAAAAACCATAACTAAAATAATACAAATGCTTATTTTATTAATACAATGTGCAGTGAAATAAAAATAATCAAAAAAGGTCAGAAAACAAAACAAGAAAGTGTAGAAGGTTAAATTAGCATGCAATAGATCGAGGTTGCAATTGCTTTCGAGATAGTGCCAAACTAGGTTTTCTTTATTTTTTTTAAATAGACGCGTGACAGTTGCCGTAAATTGTCATTCTCTAGGTCAGTTGCTCGACTGACTTTTTCTTGTGAATTTTTTTGCTCTCATAAGTTTCAACCGATTTATTTGTTATCAAGACTGCATCATTTTCGGTAAAATACGCCACACATACGAATTATGAAGTATGTATGGTTTTTTTTTTTTTAAGCGATATTGCAACTAAGAAAATAATTCCTATCTAGCAAATATTCTGGCTCTATATGGGGGTTATGGGTGTACCATCCACTGATGAGTTCCCTGTACATTATATTTGTCTAGCCAATGAGTTCAAGCGGTCTAACCCTTTTTAGTCATCTATGTTCTTGATCAACATCCAAAAGTTGCAGCATCTTGGGCTTGTCATACTGGAGTAACCTTGATTGATGATTGATTGCATACTTCTTTATTTCATCCCTGACTGTCGCCACGTTTAGATCTCGAGGTAGACTATCATTACTTACGTACCATGGTGCATTTACAATGATTCGGATGACCTTGTTTTGGAAAGTTTGGATAATTCTCAAATTGGATTCATTGGTACAGCCCCACAGTGTGTATTAAGCTCAGAATGTCTTCCAAGAAGCCAATACATGTTTCTCAATTTAATGTTCAGCTCATTTTTTTTTTTTTTAACATGCTCTTTCGATTTTAATTTAGCATCCAGTGTCGTATTTAGTTGCCCCATTAAGTAAGACACCAATTGGATCGCCCCTTCTGTTGGTGTAGGTTACGTGTACTGATTTAGCTTCGTTGAGTTTGAACCTCCACTTTTTCGTCCAAGTAGGCACTTCGTTCAATGAGACTTGCAATTTATTCGTAGCTTCCTCAACAGTTTTACCGGTCGCTAATATTGCCATATCGTCTGCAAAAGTTGCTAAGAAAGTTTCTTCGCTTTGCGGGATATCTCTGGTCTAAAGCAAGTACAAAAGAGATCCCAGTCAACTTCCCTGAGGCACACCAGCCCTCAAATTTTTAAAGATGGAGTACTCTTTCTCAAATTTTACCCTGAATATTCTGTCAGAGAGGTAGGACTTCAATATTTTTGAAAATGACTCCGGCAGAAACTCCCTTATTTTGAAGTTGAGGCCCTTGTGCCAAACCCTATCAAATGCCTGGGCTAAGTCCAAGAAGACAGTTGAGCAATATTTGTTTTCAAGTGCATTTTCAATGACTAGGAGGAGGAGAGTAAATCGGCTCTACCAACCTCCCAGTGGTTCTCCTTGGTAACTGTTATCAGGCTAATGGGTAGTCCGTGCAGGGAGTAGGGTGTGGTCATGTTCAGTAGAACCGATAGCATAGCTATCTAGACTTCTGCGTCCATTTCCGCACTTCGAAGCAACTGCCAAAAATCCAGAAGCGTCTGTCCCAGAATGGGCGGCTTTCTGGTCTGCGTCTGACCCCAGAGGGGTGGCAGTTTTATTTTACCTGGCAGTAGGTATAAAATGCAACAAACAACAACAAAAATGTCATTAAACAAAAATAAAATAGTTACGGGACAGGGGTTCGGAGCCCCAGAACCGGTACGTGTAGGGGGCGAACGAGTGGGCTCCCACGGACCGTCATCATGCGACCGCTCTGCATCCTTGGTGGATCACCAGGCCGGGATGCTGGATAAAGTTACTGGATCAACCGCGGCACGTTCAGGAACGGAGGCTAATCCGTTTAAGTCGGGCAACAAACTACTTCGATCGCCTATAAAAATAAGAAGTCAATCTTTGGCTGACTTAAGGAGCCATTCCTCACAACCAAAGGGGCAGCAACCTCCGAGTAAGAAAAGAGGGATTTCACCACCAATAAGCCCGGATGGGGTTTTCGAAGGGTTCAGCTCACCTATCAGAAACAATCAAGAGGCTAAAAATATGACAATAGAGCTATTACAAACTCAGCTTAGTAACGCCATGGCTGAAATAGAGGAGCTCAAACGCACTATAAATATGCTTAAAAATCAAGCAATTAGAGAACCAACTAAAGAAAGGATGCCTATAATTGAGGTAGATGAAAACAACAATACTGAAGAAAACCTTGTAGCAAAGGAAACTGCCTGGATACTCCAAAAGAATAAAAAGAGAGTTACCGTGTCTTCAAATATAAAGGTGAAAGGTAACCCAGCAACTCCTCAACAGCTTAAAAAGAAAACTAAAACTTCAACACCAAATTTAACGTCGCAGGAAAGCGTTCTTAAAAACACGGAAACAAACCAAGTCACAGCCAAAGAATTAAAACCACCCCCTGTAATCATTAGTAATTTAAATAACTATGGGGAAATGAAAGAAACTTTAAAAGCAAGGGGCATTAAGTTCCAGGCCAGCCTTATGAACAATAATCAAATCAAAATTAATGTAAATTCCTCAGATGATTACAGGAGTCTGACCAAATTTGCAAACGATGAAAAAATTGAATGGCACACTTATGAAAATAAGCAAACAAGACCAATTAGAGTCATGGCAAGAAATTTACACCAATCTTGTGACCCTGAAAACATAAAAAGTGAGCTTTTAAGCGAGGGTTTCAAGGTTATTGAGGTCACCAATAAATTCATGAAGAAGAGGCTCGAGGATGGGAGTGTAGAAATGGTCAAACTGCCTTTGTTCATGTTAACCTTCGAAAATACTGAAGACATAAAAAAAATCTACAGCATTCAGTATTTAAATCGTTTGAGGGTCAGGATCGAAGCCGTTAGGTCTAACAAACAAATTCCGCAATGCAAACGTTGCCAAAGACATGGACACACACAAAGATACTGCCAAAGAAACCACATTTGCGTTAGATGCGCTGGTAACCATCCAACAATTAAGTGCGATAAGCCCAAAAATACTCCACCAAAATGCGCAAATTGCGGTCAACCTCACCCAGCTAACTATAGGGGTTGCATAGTTGCCAAGGAGCTTCAAAAAAGGAGGCTAAATAAAATGTACAATAGAGATAAAATTAATCAGCCTAGATCGTACACAACAGAGCATTACAACCAGCCTAGATCGTACACAACAGAGAAAGTGTCACGGGAAAAATCTTTCGCCGATGTTGCATCACATAGTCAAACAAGCCAGAATCATGACATGAACATTCCTGCCATGTTCAATAATCTCGTGAGCATGATAAATAATTTATCAATTAGGCTTGGTGCCATCGAAGCAAATCCGACAAAGTTATTATCCCGCCAACCAGCCTTATGACCAGCAGGGACGTCAGAATAGCTACCTGGAATGCAAACGGAATTAAGGAAAAATGTCACGAATTGGAATTATTTTTAAATACACAAAACATTGATATCTGCTTGCTATCAGAAACTCACTGGACAACTGATAACATCCAGAAATTCAAGGGCTATGAAACGTTTTATGCAAACCATCCAAATAACCAGGCTAAGGCAGGAAGCGCAATTGTAATAAAAAATAACATCAAAATTCTCAAAGAAAATTACATCAAAAGTGAAGAAACACAATTAACAATAATACAGGTTAAAAGTATGCAGCAAAAACTTTCTATCGGCGCGATCTATTGTCCACCTAAATTTAACCTCAAGAAACCGGACTACAAAAAAATTCTGGAAATGATGGGTGACAGATTTTTAATCGGCGGCGACTTCAATGCCAAACATGTTGACTGGGGCTCCAGATTAACCACAACAAAGGGCAAAGAGCTAAGGGATGCAACACTAGAGCTTGGCTGTAACTTTCACAGCACAGGTAAACCAACATACTGGCCATCCGATCCAAACAAAATTCCAGATTTATTGGATTTTTTCATATCAAAAAGAATTTGTGCAAATTTCGTCAACTTAAAGGATAGTTATGATCTAAGCTCGGATCATTCAGCAGTCATTCTCACGCTTAGCGAAAACATGATCTCAAAGCCATTAAAACCTATGCTGACGAATAGAACAACGGACTGGTGTAGATTCAAGGAGGAGTTAACAAATTCTATTAATTTGAAAATCAAACTTCGCACTGTACAACAGCTTGAGGAGGAAGTAGAAAACTTTACTAATGCGATCCAACTTGCTGCTTGGAATAGCAGTAAAGAATTATCCACAAAGACTGTAGGTGTTAACTACCCAGCTGAAATCAGAATTTTAGTCGCTGAAAAAAGAAGAGCAAGGAAACGGTGGCAACAATCTCGAGACCCGATAGACAAAAATACTCTCAACCGAAAAACGCAACAACTGAAAAGGGAAATACTTAAATGGAAAGAAATATCTACTCAGAGTTACCTTGAAAAATTATCTCCAAATGACAAAAATGAATACTCTTTATGGAAGGCTACGAAATTCTTGAAAAAACCAGTATCACAGATTCCTCCTATCAGGAAAAACGATGGGTCCTGGGCAAGAGATAGTGTGGAAAAGGCTAACGTATTTGCTGAACACCTAGCTGAAACTTTCAGGCCAAATAATTTCAACACAAATCACGTAACTATAACTGATACAAGTTCGGAAAATCAAGAAATTACTATAGTTTCGCAAGCAGAAGTCAGCAGAGAAATAAAAATCAGCTGTAACACAAAAAAAGCTCCTGGATTTGACCTTGTAACCAATGAAATATTAAAAAACCTGCCCAAAAAAGCCATAACATTGTTGACTTTCCTGATTAATGCTGCCTTCCGCTTAAAACATGTCCCGGGTATGTGGAAGGTTGCAGAAGTAATAATGCTGCAAAAACCAGGTAAGCCGCCAAACGAGGCAAATTCATACAGGCCAATTTCACTTTTA